CCAGTGGATTCATGTTGTGATTAGACCGATTTGACTTCCACATCAGTCAGTTTTGTGTTGATTTCGACTGCATTTAGTATTATTGGAGTGGTGGTGCTTTTTGTACTTGTAAGAATAATTATTTTATACGAGCGATGACAATAATAAATGAATGTTTATATGAAAAGATCTTCATTATTTTCCTATTTCATTAATTTATATACAGTAATACCCCGATTTACGCGGTCAATTGAACCCGCGGAGGTCTGCGTAAAACGAGAAACACGTAAATGGAATAACAGGACATATGGGATTAATTGAAATAGAGACTGGGCCGACTCCCAAATTCCACTTTTTCCGACACAATACCTATGTTGTAGTAAAAATAACATCTTAATTTTATGATGGTATGCACACACAATTAATATTTAAGAGAAATACAGTCGCCAGGTTAATGTCCATTCAAATAATGGACTCAACTCCCCCCCCCTCCCCCCTCTTCCCACGCTCGCTGGCTCCTCCCTCTCTGAGAAATGCTTGGGTGAAAACACTAGATTTTAAGGTATAGTAATAAATAATACCTCAGACTAAAGTTAGGGTACGTAATATAATTGTCATTGCTGGATTCCTTGCAAGACCAGGAATATTTTGAATATACTGTACACGTCATATATTTTGCACAAAAGATAACATATTTGCTCTGTGTAAACAAAATTCTTACATTAGATCTAAAATTTGTATGTCTAATGCAAAATTCATGATGTTTATATTCAAAATGATCATCATATTGTAAGAATTCCAGCAATGTAAATTATATTCTGGCCGGGTAATTTGTATGAATTTTATGAGCTAAATAAAAAAATTATACTTCACCCGCGTATATGAGTAGATGCACCGCGTAAAGTGGGAATTCAGGTTCTGGCAGGGTACCGCGTAAATGTAGAAACGCGTAAAGCGGGGTATTACTGTATAAGGGATTTACTATGATAGTCTCCTGAACTGTTTGTAAGAGAAAAAGTAACTTTATCAGTCAACAGAAAATAACTAAAGCCCCATCTAATACTACAACACCTTTTATGTCCATATTATTTTTAATATAGTATAGTAGCTAGGTTAAGTTTACTTACTTTATTTACCTTGCTAGAGGTAGCCTTGCCAAGGAAAGGAGGCCAGTTGTCTGTGTAAGATCCCTCATTATTCTTGATAGTCATGTTTTGGGCTACAGTAATTGTAAAAGCCCAGTACTGTTCTTGATTCCACAGCTTCATCTGGTAAGACTTTTCCATAAGCCTACCATAAGAAGTATTTCCTTATGTTAGTTATGTGCTGTATTGTATCTTGGTGAGCTTAAAGTTATGTCCCCTCGTGTTGGTGGTGCGTGACATCACAAACAAATAGCCCGGATCCACGTTTTTCATCCCTTTCAATATTTTTAATGTCTAAGAGCTCTGCTTGGTTGTGTCTTGTCAACCTGTAGGATAGATTAGAGTGCAGTTCACTGTAGCTAGATTTATCAAGGTTAGGGTATGTTAGATTATGTTAAGGTAGGTTAGATATGGTTAAGGTAGGTTAGGTTAGAATCTAACCATTAGATAAACTTAGGTAAACTTAAGTAAATATTTCTATTTATCTTCACAGTCTGTTTGTACTTATTGTTTATAAACACCAAAAATTACAGGAGGTGAGTAATTAGGGCTGCAAATCTAATGAAATTACTGTGATTAATTACATCAGATATATAAGGGCCAAAATTGCAATGATATCCCATTGTAAATTTTGCCTAAGGTTAAGAAAGTTCCTATACAGTACATGGTAGGGTCTTGCCAGTCTATCTTACAAATGCTCACCTCACACATCCACCCTCCTGCTGGCTCAGAAAAAACAAAACAAATTGTGACCACACATGCATAGGTGTAGTAAATGAAATGAAGGGGTACAACCTCAGAGTCACTGGGGAGTTTGTTGATATGCACTTACTGTGAGGAGATGTCTTGCAAGGATTGTGTTGATGTACGCAACTTTAGGATGCCGCATAATGCATTAAAGTATAAAGGCTGTTGCTGATATTGCCCTGACTGTACGTCTAACCAAAGTCAATGAAGCAAGTTGGGAAAGAGATCCTCACTAAGACTGAAGAAGCTGTTGATAGGATAGAGGGAGTAGTTAAGAGGAGCTATGCTTAGGTTATGACAGGATCAGCAGTTAGGGACTCTGCAGAAGAGACTCTTGAAAAGATTACAACTAGTAGATCTAATGATATGGGAGAGAGGGAACGTCAGTATCAGTTCAAGCACAGGAACAATATAATCTTGTATGGAGTCCTCGAGAGTCAGTCGGAGGAAGTTGAAAGTAGGAAAACACACGACAGGATGAGATTTCAAGGTACAGTATCTGTACAGTGGCTCTGAACCTGTCAGCTACCCCTAACAAAGTGAAGAGGCTTGGACAGATGCAGGAAAATAAGCCACGCCCCCTCAAGATAACATTAGAGAACGAAGAAACAAGTGGGAATTTATCCGGCAGGCAAAAAACTTAGCAACAAAAGAAGCATTTCGGAATATGTTCATAAGCCCAGATTACACGGTAGAGCAGAAAGAACAGCACAAAGAATTCTTGATGTACTTGAAGAAGAAGAGGGAATATTCAGTGAGAAATGGGAATGAACGTCGGTGAGTCATATGCAGGGGAAAGGTATTAGAGGTGCGTACTATGTAAACAATGTTACCTGTTGCCATACCCCATAAAATATGGTGAGTTTAGTAAATGGGGCAGGTGGGAATGGTAGGAGGTCAGAGCCATTACCAAGCTCAGAGTTGCTGTCGATGACTGTTACAGGCTTGAGAGTCATGTATACACTGACACTTTCCTTGACAAGAGAATGGAGTTTGAAACATTACTCAAGACCCACCAACCTGATATAGTACTGTAGGTGTTGATGAACTGTTGTAAAAGAACAGGAGGATCAACCCGGGGGATTGTGAGATGAATGTAGATGGATATGAATTATTTACAAAACCTTCTCAGGCAACTTGCAAGAGGTGTGTGGCTATTTATGCTAAACAGGACGTTAGAGCCAGCCAGGTAGGGTGTGCTGTTGGAGGATGCTTTTGAAGAATTGAAATGATGTAAAATTAAACTGAAGGGGAGAGACTTACTCATTGTTGGATGTATGTATAGATCCCTGAATTGCAGCCTAGTAAACCAAGGGAACTCATGAGCCTTAACAGGCAATTTACTGTAACTACACTCAACTCTAACCACCTCTTTGTCATGGGGAACTTTAACTATGGCGACATCAACTGGAAGAATGAAACCAAACAAAATAATTTTAATAATCCCACTACTTACTCTTTTTTTGTAGAAATATTGGGAAATAATTTTCTAACAAATACCCAAAGTGCTGAACTTCATCATAACTAATGAGGAGGGTATGGTGGCCAAGCTGGAAAATCTAGCCCTTGTTGGCATCAGCCATCATGTGACATTGAAGGACATTGTCCTTCAGATTTAACTGTTACTTGGTTCATGATAAGAACAGTTCAAATATTACAGTGGCAATTGCAACAGCATGAGGAAGGAGATGAGGAGTATTCACTGGCCTGACTTGCTGGCAAACAAGAATGCAGGTACTACTCTGAACACCATAGTCAGTGAACTATTTTATTGATAAATATATACCCAAGACCAAACCAATTGGGATCCAGGAATACAAGGAGACTGTTACACATGAACCTTGCTGTGGTTGACAAAGATAAGAAAAAATCTCATAAATTCCAGAGATGGGCAGGACAGAAGGATGTATACCAGGTTATGCCAGGTCCAGGAACAAAGCAAAGTCAGAGTGTAGAAAGCTTTCTACCTTAATACATACTTGAAATTAAAGACACGTGTAGGCGTATCAGATCTGAAACATATATATGGTAGTTACGCAAACTCAGATCAGGACAAATTCTTTTCCTCGGTCTTCACTGAAGAGGATGAAAGCAATCTCCCTGCATTTGAGGAAAGAAGGTACTACACAGTTCTGATGCACATTATATTCTCAGAAGAGTATATGAGGAATGAATAGTCAAAGATAAAGGTTCACAAGAGCTCGGGCCAAGAAATGCATCCTGTAGTGCTAAGAGAGTTCTGTTAAAGATCCAGGCACTGGAAAATGATACATATGAGTCCTATATTCAAAATGACCAAGTACAATACAGTATATTGTTATAGGTGAATACAATGCTGGTAAATATTTAATGTCCAAAAGGATAGCATCACCACACCATGACGCAGTAACTTTGCTTAATACTGCCGTGTGAGCTGCCAAACACATAAAACCTTTATACAAGTTTTAAATACAAGTACAATAAACCCTCAATAACTCGGCACATATGGAGCTCAGGCCTTGCCGAGTTATCCCAAATTCCGACTTATCGAGGCACTCCCCCTGCCCCCCTACAAAAATACAACAATAAAATTGTTTTGACACTTATCAGCACTACAGGCAAAGATTGAAGCATCATAGTAGGTGATGCAGGTGGCCAGATATGCCGAGATTTTCCCAGATAATTTTATATACCCCGAGTTATACTAAAACATTCCAAGACCATATCCATACAGTACTGAGTTTTATGAAATTCAGAGTTATCAAATGCCGATTTATCGAGGGTTTACTGTAGTACTATGTAATATAAATAATAACTTGTGTATGTCAACAAACAAGTAAATGTCTTATTAATGTAGGTCAATACAGAACCAACACAATAACAAAAGTATTTAACATCAAGTGACAACGTGCATTGACTCACTAAACAAAATGGCGTCCCAGAGACTTGACGGGTGACTCGGTTTTTATAAGTCCCTAAATGACTTTGTCAACATTTTACTAACATAGCAGAATGGTGAATACAGTATGTGCAAACAATTATATATAATTCATTTTTGTAAATGTTGGTAAGGAGAAAAATGAACTATAGAATAGACAAAATAACTATAAACAGGTACCTGTATATCACTTCTTTTTTTTCTATGGTCAGACCGGGTACTATGGCGGGCAGCAGCGGCCGGTCACCTGGAGGCAGTAAAGGCCCTGAGAGATAGTGGTGCTGATGATGGTAAGTGTCCTTGTTATTTGTTAATACAGTACTGTACTGTATCAGTAGCAAGACACTACACTGGGATATTAATAAACTATATTATTAAGTTATCTTATATATTGTTTTTATTTATTTATGTTTTTTGTTTATTCATCCTCTAATGCTAAAAAAAATTAATACTGTACTGGCAATTTTTCCTCAAAATTTTGGTCCAGAATATGTATAAAAATATGGCGCATCTTACCTAATTTAAATATAAAAAATGTAATCAATGCTTCTGTTGTCCTTTTATTGCTCCATCCATACATACTGTATATGTATCTTTGAAGTCAGTTGATAATTGATGGAGAAAATACATTTTGAATGAATGTAACTTATGTTTAGAGTTATGAGATCAATCAGATGCACAGACCCGCTCTTGATGAAGCTCGTGGCGGACTGAGTGACTAGTACACACGTACTCTCCTCTCTAAACTCATACCCATTGAGGACAGTTCCCATGTAGTCAGTTAGATCAATAATGTTACAGTATTTCATTATATTGTAGTCAAGACATCTAATAGTAATGACATTTTAATTACTCACCAACTGTGGGTCTCCAAGGTGACTTTTTGGTGTTTTGGTGTTATTCTGGTAGTACGTAAATAGTTAAACCCCTTAAATTCCAATAAAGAGAGAAAACTGTATTGTATTTCGGTCGAAAGTTTCAGCTACAGTATTTTAGCCCAAAATTGGATTTTCTTCAAAATTTCAGTATAGGTACTCCTGTGCATGCTGATTCCAAATCTATGGTCCATGATTTGATTGAGAGGTAACAGCTGGTCGTAATGATGCTTGGAAGATTGTAATGTAATTTTCAATGCTAATAACTCGCCAGCTATATATAAATATTTTTTATTGAATAATCTGGTGTTATCACACAAAATCATGTAAAACACAAGGGGCTTAATATGTTCTTTACTTTCTGGCCACTTGGTGAAGCTACTGTCGCAGGAAAAAAAAAACTTTAAATGAACTATTCTCCTATGGTCTCAGAGTCATTGGTATTATTCACCTTATATGTATTATTTATTATCACAATTCAGATGATGACCTTGGTTACTTATATGATGTGGATTATTTGTTATTCTTTTGCTATTTTTTATCAAAAGTTTAACTAATGATTAAATAATCTGTTTTCTAGATTGGACGTGGGATGAGAGGCCCAAGTTATTCATCTGCCTGGGAGACCAAGTTATTCATATTTCTGGGAGACCAGGTTATTCATATGCCTGGAAGACCAAGTTATTCATCTGCATGGGAGACCAAGTTATTCATCTGCTTGGGAGACCAAGTTATTCATCTGCCTGGAAGACCAAGTTATTCATCTGCATGGGAGACCAAGTAATTCATCTGCCTGGGAGACCAAGTTATTCATCTGCCTGAGACACCAAATTATTGTATCATTCCCAAGCTACATTGTTTGTTTCTCTTATCATTAGTTTAGACAGGAGGGTCATTATAGAAGCTAAATTATTGAGCAACACCCCACAATAGATCAGTCATTAGCTCAATGTATACAATTATATTCTACATCATTACACTAATTACAGTTTTATTATTTTTAGTTATAGGAATAGTAAAAATACTTGTACCTTTTATTTACTGTTTAATTGATCAAGTTTACCATACATCTGCTATGACATTTGTCCAGTGGTAGTACAGGTAGTCTAACACTGGTGGCTGTACAGGTAGGCTAACACTAGTGGTAGTACAGATAGGCTCACACTGGTGGTAGTACAGATAGGCTCACACTGGTGGTAGTGCAGATAGGCTCACACTGGTGGTAGTGCAGATAGGCTCACACTGGTGGTAGTGCAGATAGGCTCACACTGGTGGTAGTACAGATAGACTCACACTGGTGGCTGTACAGGTAGGCTAACACTAGTGGTAGTACAGATAGGCTCACACTGGTGGTAGTGCAGATAGACTCACACTGGTGGTAGTACAGGTAGGCTCACACTGGCTAACTTTAATGTATCAAGTGTTCTCATTATCACCCAAGATTCTGACCTTGTAAGGCTACAGGTGTAAGGGTATGGATTAGTGACAATGTTGTAGGATTTTTCAGGAGTTTGTTGTAGGATATTTAAATGGATCTTGTAGGAGCTATAGTCTTGGTATACTTTTTCCCTCCAGATCACGAGATTTTTGCCTCTTCATCCTCCTCCTCCTCCTCTTAACCATACTCTCCTCCTCCTCCTCTTAACCATACCCTCCTCTTCATCTTGACCATATCCTCCTCCTCCTCCTCTTTACCATACTCTCCTCCTCCTCTTAACCATACCCTCCTCCTCTTAACCATACTCTCCTCCTCCTCCTCTTAACCATACCCTCCTCCTCCTCCTCTTTACCATACTCTCCTCCTCCTCTTAACCATACCCTCCTCTTCCGCTTAACCATACTCTCCTCATCCCCCTCTAACCACACACTCCTCATCCTCTTAACCATACTCTCCTCTTCCTCTTCCCTCCTCCTCCTCCTCTTTACCATACTCTCCTCCTCCTCCTCCTCCTCTTAACCATACTCTCCTCCTCCTCCTCCTCCTCCCATACTCTCCTCTTCCTCCTTACCCTCCTCCTCCTCCTCTTTACCATACTCTCCTCCTCCTCCTCCTCTGCTCCATACTCTCCTCCTCCTCCTCTTAACCATCTCTCTCTTCCTCTTAACCATACCCTCCTCCTCTTTACCATACTCTCCTCCTCCTCCTCCTCTTAACCATACTCTTCTCCTCCTCCTCCTCCTCCCTCCTCCTCTAACCATACTCTCCTCCTCCTCCTCCTCCTCTTAACCATACTCTCCTCCTCCTCCTCTTAACCATACACTCCTCCTCCTCCTCTTAACCATACACTCCTCCTCCCTTAACCATACTCTCCTCCTCTTAACCATACTCTCCTCCTCCTCTTAACCATACTCTCCTCATCCTCCTCTTAACCATACCCTCCTCTTCCGCTTAACCATACTCTCCTCATCCCCCTCTAACCACACACTCCTCATCCTCCTCTGAACCATGCACTCCTCCTCTTGACCCTACACTCCTCCTCTTAACCCTTCTCCTCCTCTTAACTATATCCTCCTCTTCCTCCACTTATCTTGATGTTCGTGGATAATTTATTTATTCTTTTCTATAAATAAAAAGATGTTAAGATTTTGTAAGTAAAATTAAGTACAGTGTATGAAGTTATGATGATTGCATTACTTAAAACATGATAACTATTATGTATACCGAAATTTGTCACAAAAATGACACTTTTTGCCGATCTAAGTCAGGTTAGGAGAATACGTTAATTCATTTATTATTAAAAGGTGCACTAGACAGACTTCAATAGGTCAGTTGTTCTTTAATTGTGAAAGAGAAATCCCAGAGTGTAAAATGCTTTTAAAACAAACCAATATATTTACAAGGAGCTCTACCATGGGTGGTGACGCCTCTTGGGGCATGCCCAGGGGAGGCCAAGCCTACAGGGACCCTTCTAAAGGGTTGCAGTGACCCCAGGGGCCCAGCCAGGGGTGGTGATATCCCCCCCAGGGACCCTGCCAGAAGCAATGGAGGTTCTCTCAGGGGCGGTGGCAACCCCAGGGGCCTTCTTAGGGGTGGCTCCTGCTAGGACGTTCTCAGGGGCGGCAGTGCCCTTAGGGGCCCTCCCAGGGGCTCTCCCAAGAGCATCAGCATTGCCAGGAGCCCTCCCGGGGACAGCGGTACCCCAGGGGGCCTACCAGTGACTGTGGCTCCTACAGGGGCCCTCCCAGGAACCCTTAGGATAGACGCTGGTGGTGCAGACACCCATGTGAGGGCCCCTAGGGGCACCGTTTACACTGCGACGTCCCCTGGAGGCGCCATTGCCTTTGGCAGGGCAAATAGGGTCGCAGTTGCCCTGGGAGGGCCCCCGGGGGCGCCATGGTGTCATCCTACAAGAAAATTTGGGTGTTTGAGGCACCCAAGACTATATAGCCTTGGTGTTATTCTATTGGCAAATTTGGGTGTTTGAGGCACCCAAGACTATAACCTTGGTGTTATTTTACAGGCAAAATTGGGTGTTTGAGGCACCCAAGACTATAGCCTTGGTGTTATTCTATTGGCAAATTTGGGTGTTTGAGGCACCCAAGACTATAGCCTTGGTATCATTCTAGAGGCAAATTTGGGTGTTTGAGGCACCCAAGACTATAGCCTTGGTGTTATTATAAAGGCAAATTTGGGTGTTTGAGGCACACAAGACTATAGCCTTGGTGTTATTCTACAGGCAAATTTGGGTGTTTGAGGCACCCAAGACTATAGCCTTGGTATCATTCTAGAGGCAAATTTGGGTGTTTGAGGCACCCAAGACTATAGCCTTGGTGTTATTCTATTGGCAAATTTTTGGTGTTTGAGGCACCCAAGACTATAGCCTTGGTATATTCTAGAGGCAAATTTGGGTGTTTGAGGCACCCAAGACTATAGCCTTGGTGTTATTCTATTGGCAAATTTGGGTGTTTGAGGCACACAAGACTATAGCCTTGGTATCATTCTAGAGGCAAATTTGGGTGTTTGAGGCACCCAAGACTATAGCCTTGGTGTTATTCTATTGGCAAATTTGGGTGATTGAGGCACCCAAGACTATAGCCTTGGTATCATTCTAGAGGCAAATTTGGGTGTTTGAGGCACCCAAGACTATAGCCTTGGTGTTATTCTATTGGCAAATTTGGGTGATTGAGGCACCCAAGACTATAGCCTTGGTGTTATTCTATTGGCAAATTTGGGTGTTTGAGGCACCCAAGACTATAGCCTTGGTATCATTCTAGAGGCAAATTTGGGTGTTTGAGGCACCCAAGACTATAGCCTTGGTGTTATTCTATTGGCAAATTTGTGTGATTGAGGCACCCAAGACTATAGCCTTGGTGTTATTTTACAGGCAAATTTGGGTGTTTGAGGCACCCAAGACTATAGCCTTGGTGTTATTCTACAGGCAAATTTGGGTGTTTGAGGCACCCAAGACTATAGCCTTGGTGTTATTCTACAGGCAAATTTGGGTGTTTGAGGCACACAAGACTATAGCCTTGGTGTTATTCTACAGGCAAATTTGGGTGTTTGAGGCACCCAAGACTATAGCCTTGGTATCATTCTATAGGCAAATTTGGGTGTTTGAGGCACCCAAGACTATAGCCTTGGTGTTATTCTATTGGCAAATTTGGGTGATTGAGGCACCCAAGACTATAGCCTTGGTGTTATTCTACAGGCAAATTTGGGTGTTTGAGGCACCCAAGACTATAGCCTTGGTGTTATTCTGGAGGCAAATTTGGGTGTTTGAGGCACCCAAGACTATAGCCTTGGTGTTATTCTACAGGCAAATTTGGGTGTTTGAGGCACCCAAGAATATAGCCTTGGTGTTATTCTATTGGCAAATTTGGGTGATTGAGGCACCCAAGACTATAGCCTTGGTGTTATTCTACAGGCAAATTTGGGTGTTTGAGGTACCCAAGACTATAGCCTTGGTATCATTCTAGAGGCAAATTTGGGTGTTTGAGGCACCCAAGACTATAGCCTTGGTGTTATTCTATTGGCAAATTTGGGTGATTGAGGCACCCAAGACTATAGCCTTGGTGTTATTCTACAGGCAAATTTGGGTGTTTGAGGCACCCAAGACTATAGCCTTGGTGTTATTCTATTGGTAAATTTGGGTGTTTGAGGCACCCAAGACTATAGCCTTGGTATCATTCTAGAGGCAAATTTGGGTGTTTGAGGCACCCAAGACTATAGCCTTGGTATCATTCTAGAGGCAAATTTGGGTGTTTGAGGCACCCAAGACTATAGCCTTGGTGTTATTCTATTGGTAAATTTGGGTGTTTGAGGCACCCAAGACTATAGCCTTGGTGTTATTCTACAGGCAAATTTGGGTGTTTGAGGCACCCAAGACTATAGCCTTGGTGTTATTCTACAGGCAAATTTGGGTGTTTGAGGTACCCAAGACTATAGCCTTGGTATCATTCTAGAGGCAAATTTGGGTGTTTGAGGCACCCAAGACTATAGCCTTGGTGTTATTCTATTGGCAAATTTGGGTGTTTGAGGCACCCAAGACTATAACCTTGGTGTTATTCTACAAGAAAATTTGGGTGTTTGAGGCACCCAAGACTATATAGCCTTGGTGTTATTCTATTGGCAAATTTGGGTGTTTGAGGCACCCAAGACTATAACCTTGGTGTTATTTTACAGGCAAAATTGGGTGTTTGAGGCACCCAAGACTATAGCCTTGGTGTTATTCTATTGGCAAATTTGGGTGTTTGAGGCACCCAAGACTATAGCCTTGGTATCATTCTAGAGGCAAATTTGGGTGTTTGAGGCACCCAAGACTATAGCCTTGGTGTTATTATAAAGGCAAATTTGGGTGTTTGAGGCACACAAGACTATAGCCTTGGTGTTATTCTACAGGCAAATTTGGGTGTCAGAGGCACCCAAGACTATAGCCTTGGTGTTATTCTACAGGCAAATTTGGGTGTTTGAGGCACACAAGACTATAGCCTTGGTGTTATTCTATTGGCAAATTTGGGTGTTTGAGGCACCCAAGACTATAGCCTTGGTGTTATTCTGCAGGCAAATTTGGGTGTTTGAGGCACACAAGACTATAGCCTTGGTGTTATTCTACAGGCAAATTTGGGTGTCAGAGGCACCCAAGACTATAGCCTTGGTGTTATTCTACAGGCAAATTTGGGTGTTTGAGGCACCCCAAGATTATAGCTTAAGGAGAGCCCTGGGGGCACTGCCACTCCTAAGGTGGGCCCCTGGGGCCGTCGCCACCGCGAAAGAGGGCCCCTGGGGGCGCTGTTGTTCTTTGGAGGGCCCCTGGATGCAACACTACCCCTGGAAGGGTTCTTGGTGGTGCCACCACCTGTGGGAGGGCCCCTGGGGGTGCCATTGCACCTGTCAAGGCCTTTAGGGTCGCTTCCACCCCCAAGGAGGGTCCCTTGGGACACGACAGCTCCTGGGAGGACACGTGAGGGCGCCACCAGGGACTGCCCAATTGCGACTGTGCCCTAAGGGTCCTTACCTGGAGGCGCCACCACTCCTGGGAAGGCCCTTAGTAGTGTCGCTGCCCCTATAGAGAATCCCTGGGAGCACCACCGCCCCTGACATGGCCAATAGGATCGCAGTTGCCCCTGAGAGGGACTTTAGGGGCGCTGCCGCCCCTGGGAGGGCTTCCACTGCCCCTGGGGAAGTGTGCATAAGATAAATCGTGATGAAACCACACATGGAAAGGAAAACACTGGAGCACCTTAACTTTCGTCTTTATTCAACACATCTTCAGAGGAAATTGATTTTACAGGGACTGAGAGAAGCTTATATACAATGGGTGACCTTCCACAGCATCAGGTCAGGTCAACAACATGGGACCCACTAAACCACACACCACCTCTACTACAAATGAAAGAGGAGCTTATAAAAAATGAGTGACATAACAGGTCAAGTCAGGTCAGGTCAAAGACATGAGACCCACTAGTCATCTACCCTACTTCCACCTCAAATGCTTTCTAAGCATTTTTAACCTTAGGCCACTGACAAATATATTTATGTAACATATTATCATTTTTGTACTGACCGTCATTAAGGTTTATAGAATTCAAGAAGGTTGTTTAGATATCTAAATGGTCCAGCCCTCATAATGATCTTCAAGAGAGAGGTGCTTCCCCTCCTGGAGTACTGGCACCCCATCTGGTCCCCGAGATATGCTTGGGACTGTCAGTCACCAAACTAGTGCTTGCACTTCGGCACCTCTGCTATCCAGAGAGATTAGAACACCTGCAACTTCCTACTTTATACTACAGATTGGCAAGTGGGACCTAATTGAAGTGTAAAAACAGCTCAAAGGGCACTACAGTACTCAGTCAAGTGTCCATACCTGGAACCGGCAGATGCCCACCCCACAAGGGGTCACAGCTCAAGGTTAAAGAAGCCGCAGGTCCAAAAAACTGTGAGGGTGAACTTTTTTGGAGTGAGAGTTGTGAACTCTTGGAGCAACCTGCCAGTGTGTGTTGTGATGGCACCGAGTGTGAGCTGTTTCAAGACCAGACTTGACCAACACTGGAGCAGGTTCAGATACATTCAGGAGCCAGTGGATGCCCAGTACAGTACTTACCAATAATGTGTAACAGAGACGTGACTGACCACCCAAGTGGCTAAAGAGCCAATCAGTGGTGAAGAGGATTAAAGTAAAGGTAAAGTATTTCCCTAATTAGACTTGCTTCAACCAAAAGTCTTTCTGTGACATGTTGATTTAAACACATCTACGAGTATGCTGTTTTTCCAATCCATAATATGATATTATTGTTCCTAATATGAATGAAAATTGTACTGCTTTCAGATGCTGTTCTAATATTATATTGTGTTTTATTCTAAGTTGTAATGCTTTCCCAGTCTGACCTACATAATTTCCATTATAATTGCTACATGAGATACAGTGAACACTTCCATTTACACTCAAGATTGGGCTGTTCTTAATTAACATACTAGTAATAGTCGAATCATACTTAAAAACAACATTAATGTATAGTAATTTAAGGGATTGAACTAATATGACAAATTTCTTACAATATGGTTGAGACAAATATTCCTATATGTAGGATCTCGTCTGGTAGGAACACAATAAAGGGATTTTTTTAGCCCTTTAAAGACAACAGTCAACAAACAATAAAGGGTTAAGTACATAAACTTCTCTTAGTCCCTGTAAATTCAGTGGCCTCTGAAGATGTCTTGAATAAAAATGAAAGCTAAGGTGCTCCAGTTTCCCCCTTTTCCTGTGTGGTTTTTCTTCATGTTTCAAGTTACCCTGCATGAAACAGCTAAAGGTACTTGAAAGAATAATATATAAATTACAGGGTTGTTATGATTTAAATCAAATGATTTAAATCACAGGATTTAAATCGATTTAAATCAGAGTAAATAAATCATGATTTAAATCAAAATTATTTTTTTACTAATAACTGTTTTCTCTTTTTATTCTACATGATTGAAAAGTATATGCAATGCAGCAGGCTAATAACATTACTGTATTTGGATTTACATAATTACCCTATGCACTGTACTATAGTCTGTTCTCTCCAGTTTTGCAAAACTTTGATCATATCATAAGGTCTCATTATTAATGTATATATTTACATGAAATATATTGTTAACTAAGATAATAAATACTATTGAAATTCAGAAGAACTGTAGTATTCACTTCTCCCGGCATTATATATCAGTCAATAAGGAGCAAGGGGCTGTACATTTTTGCAAAGAGAGATAAGAGGGAAAATTCTATGGAACAAAGAAGCATAACTGGTTTTGTGATAAAAACTACTAAGTCTGAAAAAGTCACTTTGGATCAGCAAGTTGCTAATTATATATATGCAACAAATTCACCCTTCCGAACAGTGGAGCACGAAGAGTTTATCAAGATGATTAAAATGCTAAGACCAGGATATGTTCCACCTAATAGACATCAAATTGGAGGGTCTCTTTTGGATCAAGCCTACAATTCAGTGATTAAGAATTATTCAGAAGAACTTAGTGGGAAAACAGTTTGCATGGCCATGGATGGATGGAGTAATGTCCATAATGAGCCTATAGTATGTGTAACTTTAACAGCGGACAACCGTATTTACCTTGTTGACTCTATAGACACAGAATCAAGACAGCTGAATATCTGTTGTAATTAGCTGAATGTGCTACAAAAAAGTGTGAAGAGAAATTTGGATGCACAGTAAGAAGCTGTGTAACAGATAATGCTGCTAACATGGCAAAAACGAGAACTGAATTCGGAGAAGATAAATCCATTATAACATATGGTTGCTCTGCACACCTGTTAAATTTGCTTTCACAAGACCTGCAAATCAAGAACATTAAGGAGCAAATTACTGATATCATTAAGTACTTCAGAAATCATCACATCCCAGGATCTTTGTATAGAAGAGCAGGAGGAACAATGCTAGTAATACCATCACACACACGATGGAACACAGTGACAGATTCTATTGAATCTTATTTAAAGAACTGGGAGACCCTTGTCAAAGTGTGCAAAGAAAATAGTGAAGACATTGATAAGAAAATTGAAAGGAAAGTTAATGAGAAGGCATTAAAAAGAACTGCAGAAGACTATTTAGAGAGACTTAAGCCTATTGCTGTGGCATTGGACTGTGTCCAGAGAGAACATACCCTATTAAGTGATGCTGTAGAAATCTGGGTAAAACTGAAAACTGATATTAAGGAGTATTTAACAGATAAGAAGGATACGGATAATTTTGAAAAAAGAATCAAAGTAGCATTGACACCTGCCCATTTTCTAGCTAATGTGATAGATCCAAGGTATCAGGACAGACATCTGGCTCCTGAGCAGCGAGATATTGCAGAACAGTATGTGTACGAGTCTCTTCCACATTTCCTTTCAACATTAATATCCTTCCATGGAAGAAGTGCACCATTTAAAGAGGTCTATTTTGGTAAAGATGTTGTAAAATCTCTCTCACCCCTTGCTTGGTGGCAGTATTTTGCCAATGATATGACAGAAAATGTAATGGATGTTCCTAGGAAATTATTTACAGCTGTTGCATCATCAGCAGGGGTTGAGAGAATTTTTTCCACATATGGATTTGTACTCAAAGGTAAGAAATCGCCTAGGATAGGAAAAGGCATCTAAGCTTGTCACAGTACATAAGCATTTCAATGTTCAACTAAGCTAATTTCAATGTTTTGAACCATTTTTGTTGTTTACAGAATGAGAATATTGTGTTGACTTGAAGTTATTACTGGTAATTCTTAATCCACTATAATCCTACAAATGTAAGAAAATAAACTTGTTACCAGTAGCTGTACTGTACTAATATTATTTTTTTTACAAAATGAGAATATTATTCTGTTGACTTGAAGAAGTTAAGTTATTAATTTTTGAAACACTGTAATCCTATAAGAGCATTTATGTTAAATTTCATTATTACGTTTGGATTTGTGCCCTCAAATGTAAGATATGTTACCAGTTTTCTTTTATTTTACAAAAAGAATATTATTGTGTTAAATTCCATTGGTACATCTACAGTACTGCATAAATATCTTAATGCCAATTTTCTGTTTATTATCCTGAATAAGCTTTGGTTGAAAAATACTGTTTTTATGGTTTAAAAATACTATTTTGATGCAATTAGTAAAAAAATAAAAATAAATCGATTTAAATAAAAAAAATCTGATTTAAATCAAATAAATCAATTTTTTTTTATTTTTTTTTTAAATCGTGATTTTTTACAACCGATTAAATTATAATATACACACACACACACAGTACAGTACCCTACCCTATACGAGGCACAGAGAACCAAAGTAGGACAAGCACCGTAAATTAACAGAGAAAAATGCAGTTAAAGTTTATGAACCTTAAATTTACCATAACTTCGGAATCAGTGAAGATATTGAATTAATTCAAGTGGCAGATATTAGCATTGTTAGTGAAGATCTAATTGATACTAGTGAAAGACATACATATTGTTTTGGGGACATACCAGCATTTGTCCTATTTTGGTTCTGTGCTTCTTTTATATACTTTCCTAGATCTTAGATACGAGTATGTGGCTGTATAATTACTTTATAACTTCAAAAATGTCCCACAATAACTACTCTTTAAAGACATATTTAAATTAGTTAAGTATCCCCCTATATCAGACATTACAGGTATTCGTCAAATGTTTCTTATATACCGGTACAGTGAGTTCTGCTATAACGCGTGTTTTGATAACGCGAATTTGCTCTAACGCGATTTATGAATTAGGAACGATATTTGTATAACGCGAACGCTTGTTTGCTATAATGCGATTTTTGCTTACTATTTCTCCAATTTTGTGGTATTAACTGTGAATATGGTAAAGAAGAATATCTCCAAGAAGCGTTCTAGTGATAGAATTCCCGGTGATGATCGTAAAAGAAAGGATATAACACTTGAAGAGAAGCTCGATGTTATCAACCTCAAAATCACCCTTCTCCCCCATCAAGTTGCATTCATATTTTTTCAAGGTAAAGTGTTACATTTATTGTATGATTTCATTATTAGATATGAATGTAACATTTATTTAGACTGTGCTATCCTTTGTGTTAGGCTAACTACTAAATTTTTTCGATTTCGAGTAATCTGCACCTAACCCTATTTTCTCCATAAGCCCTGTTATTTCTATAACGCGATTTTCTATAACACGATATTTTACAAGAACACAATTATCGCGTTATAGCAGAACTACCTGTACTGTACAAATATATATTATGTTGTTTTATTATTATATTTATTTTATGTACAACAACAGGTTTAACCAGAAAAGATCATTGGAAATATAACATTACATCTGTGTTCATCTGCAAGACATGCTTTAAATATAAGGGTCATTTTTGTATTCGAAAAGCCTAAACGATTTCTGTATTTTAGGACGTGCAATAATCAGGTACCTAAATATCTGTGGGAATAAAGTCTTTATCATTAAGAATAGTATTTTTCTTCTTCACAATGATCAGATTTTATTCCCACTGATTTAAAAATTTCCAGTCAATTACAAATTAGGGTTCTTGGTTAACTGTATAAAAAAATTACCCTAAATACAGGAGTTCCCTGGGTCACGTACGTCTGACTTATGAACATCCGCCGATACCAATGAAGTCCCATAAAGTTAAATTTTAAATTTACAATATTTAAATTTACAGTATTTTATTTACATGATGACTAAATATTTATTTTCATTTACTGTATTTTGTCATTATTCACCAAGTTATTCAACTGTGCCTCAGCCATTGACATTATACATGGCTGAGGTTGTAGTTCCTTCAGGGAGTGAGCGAGGTCTGGGGTAGGTCAGCTCATGTTAGCACAGTATATCTGAAGTGTATTCTTTCCCACACTCTAAGAGGGCAGACGAGGTTAACCAAATCATAACAGACCTGGTCTGCTCCTCATCTCTCTCTTGTCAAAACACTTCCCCTGGTAGAGAAGGCATAATATACTGTACTCTCAACCGAACTAAGTACCTGTGAAACTATATTTTTCTACAACAAAGAAAAAATAGCAAAGTGTTTACTTCAGCGCAGCCCCTTAAGAGTTCCAGAACTTATTTAAAACAATTACTGTAATGTAATACCAAAAGAGCTAGTGTATTACATATGGACATGGGTATGTGGTATACTTTTTCAACTTCAGAACGTCCATAGGAACGGAACTCATAAGTAATCCAGGGACTGCTTGTATTTATAATAATGACCATCACAGTATACCTTGACAACAAAGACATGTATAAAATATTCACAGAAAATACCATCCTAATCAGGTCACAACAATTATATCATTATTCATACAGTAACTATATAAACCTAAGTCATATTTTACATCAGAATTTTGTCTCATTGTTTGAGAAACTTTCATTATATTGTCCTACCTTTTCACTTTCCTCTGTCTTGTCATTATTTTCCACTGCTAGTTCATCAATGTATTTGTAACGATAGGCAATCATGGCAAACAGGATCATATCAATAAACATGAGAATGGCAAACAAGAAGAATTCCATTGCCTGTGAATGGAAAAAGAAAGTAGTTATATCACTTCTATGAATCTAAATTCTGGGTAAAGTCAATTAACTCATTTTAATTGATCTAAAGATTAGACACCTCTGTTTATTTCACCTAAAGATTGGACACCTCTGCTTATTTCACCCAAAGATTAAAGACCTCTGTTTATTTCACCTAAAGATTGGACACCTCTGCTTATTTCACCCAAAGATTAAAGACCTCTGCTTATTTCACCAAAAGATTGGACACCTCTGCTTATTTCACCCAAAGATTAAAGACCTCTGTTTATTTCACCTAAAGATTGGACACCTCTGCTTATTTCACCCAAAGATTAAAGACCTCTGCTTATTTCACCAAAAGATTGGACACCTCTGCTTATTTCACCCAAAGATTAAAGACCTCTGCTTATTTCACCCAAAGATTAGAGACCTCTGCTTATTTCACCAAAAGATTCGACACCTCTGCTTATTTCACCTAAAGTACATTGGAGATACAATACATTATATATTTTATATGTACAGTATATGATATGTAATAAATAATAATGGATGACCTGAGTGTAACGAGGATGGCCGGCCCAAGGGCCACCTAGGCGTGAATTTGTTTAACACTACAACCACACACTAAGTTATCGAGTTGCGTGACCCAGTGTCAAGGAATAATCCGAGAAGACCGGACAACTCGTCAACTGCACTGGCTAACCATTACCCCGGAATACGATCCACAAATCAATTAACATCCAGATCCCCAATTGCTGCTTGGTAGACAGAGGCAAATGGCGTAAAGAAACTTGCCCATAGTTTCACCCTGCCCGGGGATCGAACCCGGGTCCGCTCGCTTGAGAGGTGAGCATGCTGACCATTACCACATGTACAGTATATGACATAATTATACCATTCTAATTCAGCTTACATACCTGACTTTTAAAGAATTTCGCTTCAGCAATGATGACCACAATTAGGTTGCCAAAGGACACAGTGAGAAGCCAAGCAGCTTGTAGGACAGACTTCATGCTTATGGGAGCCTAAGGAGAGTTGGAGAATAGATTTAATAACAGGAGACACTAAATGTTTCTAAAAAAAAATGGATCACTAGAAGATTAGACACCTTAGCTTATTTCCTCCAAAGATTAGAGACCTCAGCTTATTTCACCTGAATATTAAACACCCTAACACTAGCCTAATTTAATTTAACCTAACTCTTCCAGGTAGTGTTAGTGTGTTTAATCATCAAGTGAAATAATCAGTCATGGAAAGGGAGGGCTAATCATGAGGTGATCCCATAATTCCCTGTAAAATATCCCCAAGCCTAACTTAACCCAGGTGATTAAAAAGATACTGTAAAATAATGTAAAGTTTCCCCCTACCACTTACCAGTATGCTAGCCAAGGGGTGATCGGTCTGTTCTCTGTTATGTTGGGTTTATGCCCACTGTGTCTACGATATGGTAGTAGACAAAATGAGATGTTTCCTTACACTGTCTAGTGAAGAACATTTATTATAAAGTATGTATTATAATGGATGTGAAATAAGTAGTACTGTACTGTAATACGAACCCAAATATTTTCTCGGTAGTACACATTGACAATTTCCGGCAACTATGAAAGAAAATAATGTTTAAGTTACAAACCAAGAACAGTACTTTATAGAGTCTTGTGAAAACTTGAGAGCGGGAAGTCAGCGATAATGTTTAGCCTTGGTGCATCTAACAACATAAACAACTTCAAGATTTATCAGAGAAAATCCAAACCACTGTGACTCCATCACTTTCACTAACTAGTACAAAAGGTAACAACATGTGAGAAAACCATTGTTGGAAAAATGGCAGAAAAAATTCACTGTTGTTTATTCTTTTTTTAATTTTGATTTGATCCAAGGACAAATTTTTGGATAAATCTCAATATTAAAACATAATTCATTGAATACTTTAAGCTTAAACCAGTTGGACAAGTTTTATCCTCTTACTGGCCCACGGCACAGCTTGTATCATGCCAGTTGGGATATACACGATGGAATGGGTTGTGGCTGTGTCTGATGTGAGTAAGTGTGAGGAAGTCTGACAAATCCCAGGCTCTAAGTGTTGGTGGTACAGAGGTAACATGCGTATCTCTCACCAATGTGTTAATGGTTCATACTTGAGGTGGTTGTTATCCAGTGTGACTCTCACTAACATCACAAGTTTCCTCTGGGTACAGGACTCCAGTTTCCCCCTGTACTGTACAGTGTATAGATGCTGGATAGCCCAACCACCTGAATGGGTAGTAAGCTGATAAGTGGCAAAATGATAGATAAAAATAGAGAGAAATAAAATAAACTGTGTTGTTGGCCTGTGATTGGGCTAAATATAAAACATCAAGACCTTACCTGTGTAAAAGAAAACTCAAGGCCAGTAATAGAGAACATGATCTCTGACACTGTTATTATGAAGTACTGAGGGATGAGCCACAACATGTGTACTGAATTGGGTGGAGTAATCTGGAAATTTTTCACTGTCTGTAAGGCAGAACATGTATCAATGAGCATCAATATCACAATATTAACAATCATTACATTAATTTGCATTGTAGACTTGGACCAACAAAATATTCTACTCTATAATGCCAACAAAAGTAAGTTTTAATAAGACTGGTTTAAGAGTTCCTGAGAAATATACATATATGAGAAAAGTTTATACAATCACATTACGGACGACGTTTACTTTCAGTATTAACGGCGTATAACAGTTATGGTACTAACACATCATAACTACCATGGGGTGACTTTCCACGGTTTTAAGTCCTACAGAGTTTATTTAGATGACCGGATACCTCAAAAATACCCCCGTTTCACACTATATACAGGATATATTAATATTCAATCATCTACGCATTACCGTTTGATTGGTATGAGCTTCGTCGAGAGATTTCTGTACCAGGAAGTTGTATACACCACCAAGCTTCACATCTATCTTATAGGGGGACTTTTCATGGCCTCCATCACTCGTCGGCAAGTAAACTTCATAACTGAAACGACGAAGAAAAAATTAATATCAACGTTTAACACAGATTATTGAGCTCATCCAAAACATCATAATATTTCATATCTACTGCATATTAGTTTTATCAAGATCCATAAGTATTTCTTTGAGTTATCATGCATATAAAGTTACAGGCATCATATGCTGTACACATGCAAGCAGTCACATTATTTTTCTGCCATGTCAAAGGAGTGAAGTGGGAGCATGTGAATTTTAGACATCCCAGTTCATTTCAACTGAAGATTAAACACATGCACACTAACTTAAACAAACATTACCTTACCTTACTAAACAGCTCAATACTAACCTAACCTAACCAAACCAAATATTACCTAACGTAACATAACATTACCTAAAAAATTAACAAACTAATACGCACGTAACCTAACAACCTAACCAAACCAAATATTACCTAACCTAACCCCCCAAGTAGCATGAGGGTGGATGTTTAATCATCAAGTGAAATAAGACGAGGTGCCTAACCATCACGTGATCTGCAAAGTACAAAACAAGATACTAATTGCTCACTTGTCTGGATCGACGTCTTCAAACCCAGTCCCAGAGATGTATCCCTGCGGTTTCTCCTTAATTTTAAATTCAAAAGGTGTATCAAATTTCCCTTTCAGAAGTACTGTTGAGTTGAAGGGTATCACACCCAAATTGTACAGCATTCTGAAGAAAGAAAAAATATTGAAAAATGTATCAAGAGAGAGAGTGTTATACAAGTTTATCTTGATACAGCTTTTATATATACCTGTACTGTACTTTACTGTAATGTACTGTACTAGTTAAGCTGAACTCAACAAGGTTCTTTTGTGGCTCTGCAGACATCAATGTATCCTGACCTTTCAGTTGTCCAAAGTTGCCATCATTGGAGGAGCAAAAACTTTAATTTCAACATACAGTTAAACCTCTAATTAATGAATTATATGGAGAGAAAATTCCATTATAATGAGGGTTCATTAGATGTGAAATTTCCCCCCATTTAACAGATTATAGGGAGAGAGAAGTCCATTATATTGAAGTTAAACTGTAGACCCGAAGGAAAAAAGTTGCTTGACTAGTTTTTTTAATTATATACAGTATGTCTATAATTGGGAAAACCACTTATAATCACTTACTATAATACTAAAAATAAAAAGGTACAGTAAATACCTGAGCCTTGGAAGTCCACTAGAAGGTTTCAAATATTCGTCAGGAGGATCTACAGGAACCATCTGAACAATTGTGGTGTCGATTGTGATCAATACAGTTTGTGCCTGTTAAGTGATTAAAGACCATTAACATAAGTTCTTTACTGTTTATATGATTTTTACTATTATCTGTCTGTCTATCTGTCTCTGTCTGTCTCTATCTGTCCATCTGTCTGTCTGTCTGGACCCTCTTTCTCTCTGTCTGTCTCTCTCTCAAGTTTCCCGATCAGTCACAAATCAGTGGCTTTTCTATCTTTCTGCGTAACATACTTAAGGGACAATATTGTTTCTTGACTACTGTACTGTAAATCCTAAGCACAAATATGGGATTAAAATTTCAACTGCCCGTATCACTTCATCATACATTAAAAACAGCATAATATACTAGGGTATATCAAAAACTTATAAAACAAGTGAACACAGAATGAACTTCTAATACAAAATTACCTGTTTTTCAGTGACAAAAATCTCATAATCAGGCATAACATGTATAACATCACCACACGTTTCATCTTCAAGATCCAGAGTGACGTTCAGTGTCGCATTTTGTCCATGGATATTGATACTCTTATAGACCTGGAAATATACAACATAAACACAATATGATAAGTCCTATCTAATACTGTACTGTACCATATAAAGCGTCACAGCTATAAAGAGTTGTATCTTTTATAATTTCTAACAGCTTGTGGAATAGTGTAAATGCCATACTAATCTACTTATGCCTCATAACATTACAACAATAAAAAGAACATAAGCCAAGGACATGTTCCTATATTTTGATACAGCAATATACAGTAAAGTAATATCTCCATTATCCGGAATCACTCTTAACCGAACTTCTCCGATAGCCGGAATTGAAATTTTCTCAGAAAATCGTTCCCAAAGCTGGAATTTTCTGGAAAATCCCGGCAATGGGAATGATTTTTCAAGGGGCACATTTTCTGGAAAATTCCAAGAAAAATTTCAAAGTGCTACCAGGAAAATTATATGAAAATCAGGTGCATTTACCGGAAATTCCCCCCCCAAATTTTCCAGTACAAATTCCGGAAAATAACGCTCATGGGGGATGTTTTTCCGGGTTCGAGAGATAATGTACGTAATGTGCAATTTCAGGAACTTCCGAGAAAATTTCTCTGTTCCCCAGGAAATCCGAAGATGAGGGATTTTTTTCTTGCTTTGAGATAGTCGTTTCATTACTCAGAAATCTCTCATTCCCGGAAGTGCTCTGCACCAAATGTTTCAGCTAACGGAGATATCACTGTTCAGTAAACCCTCGAAGATCCGGACCCAGGAAATCCGGATTTCGGAAGATCCGAACAAAATATTTTGGGGGTCTGGACTAAGAAGCCTCCTAGAAGTTTCCCTAAGAAGCATTCCCAAACCAGAGCAAAGAACGTTTTATGCCTGTGGGCGCTGCTTGACCAGTCAGTTGCTTGGACACAGGTGCCCGAGGAGGTGGGAAACATAAACAGAGTTGACAATTGTTGTTTGTGGGAATATTATTTCATTCACTCTAGTAATGATACAATGTTTCTTATTATGTTATCATAGGTAAATACATGGTTTATATATGGTAATTTGTTTATCACTACACTAGTACTATATTTTTGGTGTTTCTCATATCATTTATTATTCGCCGGAAAATCCGGACAATTGACTTTTCCGGACAGGTGGTCCCTCCTTTTAGTCCGGGTCTTCGAGGGTTCACTGTATATAACAACTAACAGATCAACCCGGGCATACTTCAGGGCCTAGCAATATAGCTCAAATAACCCCAATAAGTCAGTTCTAGGACATTTTATCACAAGGCAATTCAGGGGTAGCTCCAGGAATATCAAAAGTGGGGGTCTAATAAGTTGTGGGTGGGGGAACATGACGAGCACAGTGCGCCCATCCAGCTGGGGGGGGGGGAGGGGGTGCTGTAAGTCCCCCACAGATATTTTTTATAAATCTGACCAATATCATGGGCATTTTGAGGCCATTTTAAAGCCATGTGCACTTGATATTAGTAGATATTCTGATGTAAATACTATATAAAAACGTCTGAATACAATACTGCATTAAAAGAAGCACTGTATTGGAATTTCCTGATGAAAGGGGGGTGGGTTCTGCACCCCCAGGACCCCCCCTCCCTGGATCCGCCTCTGCAATTAGTCACCAGTGCCGTATAAACCTAACCATAGCTTCATTGCCTCCACTTACTAATAGTTTGCTCCACTTACTATTAGTTTCCTTCACTTACTAGCTACTTGCTTCACTTACTGCTTATTTGCTTCACTTACTATTAGTTTTCTTCACCCACTACTAGTTTGCTTCATTTACTACTAGTTTTCTTCACTTACTAGCTAATTGCTTCACTTACTGCTTATTTGCTTCACTTACTACTAGTTTTCTTCACCTACTACTAGTTTGCTTCACTTACTACTTGCTCCAGATGTGTCAGGTTAACTTCCTTTTCTTCCCATGACATATTCAGTCTAATATTACAAGGTAAGGTGTTGATGAGTGCCAACCGTGTCTCTCCATTCTCGAGGGCAATGGGGTAAGTTTCCTGTGTGATGGAGGACATTGTTACTTCTTTTACACTTTTTTTTATAACTTTTTACTTTTAAATGTTTTCTCCTCAAATCACACGTTTATTAATGTTCATTCAGTATTCATTATAAAATACAATTACTAATCTTATTAAATATTATACAACTATCATGTGTCTCAACCAATACACCCACCTCAAGATTCATAAACCCACCTCTAGACTCATACACCCACCTCAAGACTCATACACCCACCTCTAGACACATACACCCACCTCTAGACTCATACACCCACCTCAAGAGTCATACACCCACCCAAGATTCATACACCCACCTCTAGACTCATACACCCACCTCAAGACTCATACACCCACCTCAAGACTCATACACCCACCTCTAGACACATACACCCACCTCTAGACTCATACACCCACCTCAAGAGTCATACACCCACCCAAGACTCATACACCCACCTCTAGTTTAAGTTCCACAATGCCCGACACAAGGAAGGCTATACCAGCCAACACACCGCCTGTAAACATCCTCGGTAACTGTCTCTTGAGCAGATTACAGCGAGCCAGAACTGGGTAGACGAGGGTGTCAAAGATGGGAATCAACAGGAGAATCAAGAATGGGTTTACCACCTGGAGAAGAGAGGAAAGAAAATGTTTACAAGAGAATTTTTGGATACCGTTAGGATTACCCCCATAAGTATAGTTCAGTTTATGATAAAACACCTTAATGCTACCTAGGGAGGTTACATTAGGGTAGTATATTAGGTTATGTTAGGTTATACCAGGTTGATAGAATTTGTTAAGTTAGGTTAGAACATAAGAATGGAGGAAACTGCAACAGGCCTATTGGCCCATACCGGACAGTCCTGTTTACACCCAACCCCTATCACTCATATACCCGTCCAACCTATACTTGAAGCTACCCTGAGTGTTCAAGTTAAAGATGAAGTTCAGTAACTTTTTCCACTCATCCAGTACTCTATTTCCAAGCCAATGTTTACTTATCCCACACCTGAATCTAAATTTGTCTAATTTAAGACCATTGCTATGAGCTTGCTCCTGGTTGTACAGTTTGAATACATTTGTTATATCACCTTTCTTTAGCCCTGACTTCCATTTCTACACCTCAATCATATCGCCCCTCACTCTATGTCTCTCGAGGGAGAACAAATTAAGATGCTTTAATCTGTCTCTGTACTCAAGGTTCCTAATGCCCAAAATTAGTCATCCTCCTCTGAATACTTTCTAGGGATTCTATATCCATTCTGTAGTACGGTGACCAGAACTGAGCTGCATATTCCAAGTGAGGTCTCACAAGTGCAAGATATAGTTTTAGGATGACCTCGCTAGTCTTGTAACTAACATTCCTTTGTATTACCTCAAGTACGTTGTTAGCCTTGTTTCGAGCAAATACGCACTGTTGTCTTGGTTTAAGATTTTTATTTATCATTACTCCTAAATCTTTCTCACAGTCAGATTTTTCTATAACAACATTGTTCATCTGATATCTGGTTTCTCTTTTTATCTTCTACCCCCACCTTAGACTCATACATCTCTTAGACTAAGTACTTTACATATGTCCACACTAAATTTTATCTGCCATTTTTCAGACCACGTGAAAAATTTGTTTAGATCTTCCTGCAGTTTTGCGGAGTCCTCGTCAGATTTAATTACACGCCTAATTTTAGCATCATCAACAAATTTACTTATGTTGCTGTCTACGCCTATATCTCTGTCGTTTATGTATATACTGTAATACGTAGATAGTAATGGTCCAAGTACTGAGCCTTGGGGTACTCAACAAGTGACGTTGCCCCAATTGGATTTACTGCCGTTAATGCTTACTCGCTGTTTCCTGTCCTGTAACCACGTCTTAATCCATTTTAGAATACTGTACCTCCTCCAATTCCATGAGCCTCCACTTTTCGTATTAGTTGTTTGTGGGGGACTAGGGCGAAGGCTTTGCTAAAGTCGAGATATACCACATCATAATCGTGTCCGTCATCAACTGACTCGGAAACAATTGAAAATAATTTTAATAAATTCGTCAGACATGAACGCCCACTTGTGAAGCCATATTGGGAATCAATGATCAACTTGTGCTTCTGGAGGCATTTTGAATAGAGTTTGAAATTATTGCTTTCAGCAATTTACCTACAATTGATGTTAAACTGATTGGAGGATAGTGATCTATCTCCCTTCTTGGAAATCGATATTCGCTATCCCCCAAGATTTCTGGTACTCCACCGGTTTTTAATGACATGTTAAACAAATTTGCTAAGGGCTTAACTAAGTTCTTCCTTACATTCCTTTAATACTCAGGCAATTATCTCATAGGGACTTGGTGACTCATTAGGCTTTAGTTTGTCTATTTGTTTACTAACATCGTTACTAGTCACTACTATCTCACTTAATCTATTTTCTTCACTGTCTCTGTATAAAGTCGGTGCCTCGGGTATCATGTTTAAATTATCGGTAGTGAAAACCGTTGAAAAGTATCTGACATAGGTTGCTACTCTGCCCCCTTTCCCATCGGTATGGTATAATTTGTAAACTTTAATTTGGTATTCGACAGGTAACTCATGTGAGTCTAGGTTTATTCATGTTTCAATGAATGCTATTAGTATATTGATTTTTTCGGTACATACTAGTGCCCTGATTTCACCCATTTTATTTCTTATAATTCTATTGTTTGCGTAGTAGACATTTAAGTTAGTCGTGACCTGAGTCCTCTCTTTGTTGCATTTAGGTTTTAACTCCCTGCCTAATTTAGATTTGTCATCATTCCTAGCCTTATTTATCTGTTTACCCATGCCCACTGCAGCTTCCTCGATTCCCATGCTCACATGTTCCCCTAGCAGTTTAAAGACTTCGACATCTTTTGAACTGCCCTTTTGAGAGAGCCAGCCAGGGTTTCCACCCGAGCCCTAGATAAATGTACCCCATCTCTAGCATAAAGGTCCCTTCTGCCAAAAAAGTTGTCCCAGTTATCAATGAATGGGACTTGATATTGACTGCAATATCTGTCAAGACAGCCATTGACACCAACTGCCTTTGACAACCATTCATTGCCAACTCTCCTTCCAGGCAGGACACCACATAAGATAGGGATCCCTACCTTCACCCTAATACATTCAATAACTGCTTTGAACTTATCAAGGAGCCCCTCACTCCTACACCGACCAACATCATTGCCTCCTGCACTGAGGCAGATAATGGGTTTGTTCCCATTACCAGACAAGATATTGTCCATCCTGTCAACTATATCCTCCACCCCAGCTCCTGACAAACACACTCTAATCCTATTTCTATTTTTAGGAATCACCAACAATTAAGGTTTTCATACTTTCCTTGTCAGCCTTGTCCTTGACTATGTTAACGTCCAATTTGTCTACCAAAGGACTAAAAAAGTTAGTACACTTAGCAGTTTTTATTTCCTTGGTATCTTTTTTCACCACCAGTCTGGTCGTTCCTCTCCTCACAACTCTCCATTCACCTATGTCTTTGTCAGACACAGGCTTTCCTTGTATCGTGTCTTCCTCCTTCATCCTCGTTATCACTTCCTTTGACTTCAAGTTTTCAACATTGACTTTCACTAACTCAGCCTTCAAAAGGGCACAGACCCGCTCACAACTAACACTAGCCATTGCACTGACAGTTAATCCCCGGGAGCTAAATCAGCCATGACCTTTCCTCTAGCAAGGTCAGAACACAACTGGCAAGGTCAGAACACAAGTCAAGCAAGGTTAGGTAATGTTAGATTAGGTTATTATTATTAGAATGTAAATTCTCAAGCTGAAATAAGCTGGGAGGGCTTATCGTCAGGAAACCCAAATTTTCCTAATACACAATCACAATACTGTACTGTACATCATCTACTTTGCCAAATCAATAAATACATCACTGAACAATAGATAAAAAAAAACTTTGAGTAAAAAATGTTAGTCTAGCCTTATATAGCAAGATATCTTTTGGACTTACCTGCATCTGGTCAGGCTTCACTGTCCAGCTACCAATTTGTCCATCCATACGAGTTGCTTGGAATGTCCATCGAGACCCCTGAGGTGAAAAGAAAATATCTTATATCATCATAGCCAGTACATGCCCAGAAGTTGCCAACAGTGCATAACAGAGACATGACCGATCGCCCAAGCGGCTAACGAGCTGATCAGTGGCAAAGAGAATAAAAGAGAAAATAAATGATACAAGGTACACATTTCTGTTTTCTAAGAGATATACAGTACAGTAGACCCTTGCCATTCGCAAGGGATAGGTTCCAAGAAATGGCGTGAATTGGCAAAACCATGAATAGCAACTTATACGTACCTTAGTGCACCACTGTATACCTGTACCAAACAACTGACCAGCTGAAGAAGCACTCATCTCCTCCTTTAACTTATCAAATAATTCAACTTTCTTTGTCAGGGTCATCACTGACTTCTGCCTTTTACATTTCACTCCACTAGCATCACTAGCACTGACACTAGGCAGTCTTTTAGGGGCCATTTCACACAGAAACACTAAAGTTTTGAGAGTACAACACAAGATGCCGCGTGGGGCGACATAGTGATGCGGGAAAAGGCTTGTAAGCTAGCCACCATAGGCACCATCTGCTTACCACAAATCGTCGAAATCGCGAATCGCAACCTCGCAAATGGCAAGGGTCTACTGTACACTGAATGATACATGGTACATATTGTTGTTTTTTGAAAGATGTACAGTACCCTGTCAAAAACAAAGTGGCCAGAAATCTTTCTCTCAAACCCTCATTTCTTGAAACTTTGATATATTCACCTAAAATTCCTCTTAGTCTTTCTTCCCTGCAAGTGATATTCTTATTTATCAGTTACTGCTCTACTTTAATCATTGCTAATCTCTTGATCATTTTATATACGTATCTATATCCCATGGCTAGATCACTCCATTACTCTATAAAACTTTTATCATCTTACTCTATACTTAACTACAATATACATTAATAAATAATTACTAAATGCAATGTTTCACGTATTTTTTAATGTTATTTCACTTCAACATATCTTAATACCATCCATTGGCAAAAATTTGTTGTGACTGAAGAGGGAGATGACTTCCAAGACTTGTAGAATTCTGCCTCTGAATATAATCATAACAAAATATGTCTTTTATGTTGTAGAAAAAGTACTGTAATGCTTTTTACATAATTAGTTTGTTTCTTACCTTATAATATAAAGTAAGTCTTCCAGTGTGTTTCTTGCCTTAAAATATAAAGCCTTCTAGTGAAGTAAATTCACAATTTCAAACTATGATGTGTCTCCTAAGACTGGGACTGACCTATTATACAGTATATGACCTTACAGGCTGACCTAAAACACCAACATTAACAACATTTTTGTGTCAACCCTTGTGACCAAAAGCAGGTTGACCCCAACATCACTAGCCATCACATCTCAAAGGAGGGAATTGATAAGGATCCAAGTTGAAAAGTGTTTACTCTGATCTCACTGTCAGATCTCAGTCAGGGGAGAGAGTATCGAGCCTGGCAAGACTTGGTCAGTCTCTTTCACGTTGACTTAAGATGACAAGTGCTGCTGACATGCAAGAAAGTTGACCCTAGTTGATCTCACTCGTGATTAAATTTCATTTAAAAATGAACACTGACATCAGAATATTTCCCTCTCTGAATGATTATTAAACATCCAAACAGAAAAAATTATAAAAATTAAGTTAAGAGTTTTGTTTTTAAAAAATTGGGATTTATTTTTTCTGAATTACATGATTTATATGGGGATGATCATACTTCACAAAGTATAAATATTAGATATTAAATCAGATTTTGATATTTTAAACTATGCAAATTCCAACACCCAAATTTATATCTATGTAGAAAATCTACATCAATTGATTGTATTTTATTAATCATTTGACCCCTTCCCTTACCACCCTACTAGCCATTCAGGAGGTTGGTTTGTTCTTTGTTACTTTATTATGAATTTTAATGTCCAGTGTTTATATAGGAGGAAACATTGTACAGAGCCTGGAGTAAACCTGCAATGTTTGGTTGAGTCACACTAGATAACACCTGTCTCACATCTGTCCCAGGCTGGGGATTGCAACCAGGACATATATTACTACTGTATCACCATAGTCTGTATGCTATCTATACATGAGAGATGAGGAAAAGGTCATAATAATCATACCTGCTGGTCAAACAAGGCCCAGAAGAATGGTAGTGGAATGTACAGAAGGAGAATCTTGAGTACAACTTTGACATCACTTATGAGGCTCTTATCAAACTTGTCACTGGCATGATCCAGCCAATGTTCCTTGTTCTCTTTAGTTTTACATTTTTGCCTGAGTGCATGCTGAAAAAATGGTCATGTTGGTTTAATATGGAAACTAATTATAGATCAATTGAGGAGAACAGAACCAAAATAGGAAAAGTGCTGGTATGTCCCAAAAACAATATGTGTGATGTCTTTCACTAGTATCAATTAAACCTTCACTAACAATGCTAATATCTGCCACTTGAATCACTTCAATATCTTCACTGATTCCAAAGTTATGGTAAATTGAAGGTTTGAAAACTTTAACTACATATTTTCATATTTTTCATTCACTGCTCTTGTCTTACTACAGTTCTGTCAACCTCAATTATTATAACTTAAGAACAGGATGTTATCATGTAAGATATAATTCGTATAGTAATTAAAAAATATTAACTTAATTTCACTCAAGATATTGGCTTGAATATAATCCATTTTAAGTCTTGTACATCACTGTATGGTACTGTACAGTATTGTGAAATAAGGCAAAGTTACTTAAAAGTACAGAACAGTATTAGTTAAGAAATGTCATATACATGTACTAACAAAATCAATGAATGTACTGTATTGTTAAATAGTATAAATGAAACTGGTAAAAATTCTAATAAAACAAATAAATTTACAGTTTCAGATACAGTATTTCTAAATCTATGTTGAGTTACAAAAACAAAGAAACAATGAAAAACAACAAACATACAGAATACAGGAAAAATCTGGCTATGAACAGTCATGTAAACTTTAACCAAAATATGTGGTGTAAATATCCTGAATTCATCTAAATCATTTATATTTCAATATACGGATATAATGAATTATTAACGCAAACTTGATTTTAATTCTAAACTATTTGGTATAGTACCTTGGTCATGTGAGAAATAATGTGGGAAACTGGTCTTCCCTTTACTGATGATAATAAGACAATACATTTGACCACATTGTAATACTCTTAAGCACACTGAAGCATTACACTCTCCTTCAAACTCTATAATTTTTTCATTCTATATCATATATTACTTCTTGTTACTTCTATTTTCATTTCTTATTACTATTTTAAGTACAGTAAGGTCCTGTTGAACAAGATTTCACCCAACGAGCACTCCTCAAGGATTGCATATCGTTCGTTAAGTGGACCTTACTGTACTGTGCAAGTTAATTTTGCCTCTGCTCCATGTACTGTGACAGGCAGAGTAATACTGTAAACTATGTAACAACCTCTAGGAAATATTCTGAAGTTTACAGAAGGATCTTGTATGCTTGAAGATGAAGAGTAATTTAACTAAGGTCACTATACTCTCACTGTGGGTCAAGGTTAATTCAATTACATTATGTCTATTATAGTTTTCCATGACTAAACACAAACATTAATAAATAAATAAATAAAACCATGCAAGAAAACACATCACCTACCCAAATGCAGCGGCAGACATCAGCCAATATTGAACCCTGGGGTGCAACTTTTCTGTAAAGCCGTGCAATGTTCCCAGCAACAAAGATGGCTGGAGTAAAAGTGAAGAGGAGAGTTATATTCACCATGAAAATAAAGCTTCACAAATATTTCTAAGTAGTTATTAAATGTAACCACTACAGTATTCATATCAAACTTCATGCAACTAGATTCTACCTTCCTATGTGGCTATCATTATCATCCCCTGTTAACCATCACCACTGCAATACATTACACAACCTACTCTAGATATTGGCTAATTAATTTCACTCCTGTTTTACATACACCTACTGCTACAAGATTTCTAAATGTCCACAAGTTTTACATACTTAATTGACTCGACTTACTGTAGTAGTGAAAAAATATAACATCACTGTAGATTTATTAGCAATTCATTTCAAATACATGCAATGATTTAAAACCACTGATCAAATGTTAAGAGCATGCATCTACCACCACATCTCTCAGAATAAATAAGTGGTAGAGAGAGAAATATTAATTGTTTTGTTTAAGAAAAGGACATTTTCTGTATTCCTGTATGGTCTGTATATACTGTACAGTACTGTATACCTGCATTGTCTATATACATGCTGAACTCTATACATGTACTGTACTGTAGATGTGCATTGCCTATAATACATGCTGAACTGTATACTGTACCTGCATTGTCTATATACATGCTAAACTGTTTACTGTACCTGCATTATCTATATACATGCTGAACTCTATACATGTACTGTACTGTAGATGTGCATTGCCTATAATACATGCTGAACTGTATACTGTACCTGCATTGTCTATATACATGCTAAACTGTTTACTGTACCTGCATTATCTATATACATGCTGAACTCTATACATGTACTGTACTGTAGATGTGCATTGCCTATAATACATGCTGAACTGTATACTGTACCTGCATTGTCTATATACATGCTAAACTGTTTACTGTACCTGCATTATCTATATACATGCTGAACTCCATACAGTACTGTACAGACATTGTCTATACCAAACTGTAAACAGGAAATTAGGAGGGAAAGAAAAGCTTGAAAGAATATGGAGGGAAGGAAATTTGGTATTACATCTGAGTGGAAAGCTTAAAGTGTACAGTATATGCACAAAGCAAAACTAACTACACTACAAAATAAACAGCATAACATTATTTTTTTCCTATTCACAGTTCTCTAATTCCAGTGAAGTCTGCCACACATGCAATCTTGGCACCAAGAAATAGCAAAAACGAGTCATCCCACCACCACCACCACCACCACCAAAGAGAAAGGTCCCACTCACGACCTCTCTCTCTCTCACTCACCATTATACAGGACCACACCCGTACAAGTATGTTACCCTCTGGCGGCTTCATGATGTATTTCGAATGCCCAGCCAGGAAGAGTACTGGAGGGGGGGGGGGGTTGACAGATGTTATAGTAACGGTAGTACAGTTATTACTTTTGAGTTATAAAAGACCTTTATTTCTGTCTTAGCATGATGGCATCAGCTATACTGATGCATTTTGGGTTTACTTATTTTTACTTTACTTATTTTACTTTATCTTCCTTGCATTGATTGATCTGTTAGCTCTTTGGATCAGGTTTTGTAATGAGTAAAAACTTCATCAATCCTAACCTGACTTAGCCTAACCTTCACAGCTTATGGTTGGAGAAGCCACAAGTTCAGAAAACTATCGGGACAAACTTTTTTGGAGTGATAATTATAAACTATTGGAACAATCTGCCAGAGAGTGTTGTGACGGCACTGAGCACTCAGTACTTGCCAACAGTGCATAACAAAGATGTGACTGATTGCCCAAGTGGCTAAAGAAACAATCAATGGCAAAGAAGATAGTGACAAAAGGTAACCTAACATAACGTAACCTATCCTAGGATAATAACATCAATAATACTTACACAATTCAATAACATTAATAATATACAGTACAGGAGTACTTACAAAGGGAAATAACATTAATAATCTTTATAAAGGTCAATATCAATAATACTTACATTGGGCAATGACAATAACATTAATAATACTTACAGAGAGCAACGACCATCAAAATTGCTGGAATTCCAAAAGCGAGACAATAGCAATCGTCACCATAACAGTGGACGTTGTCTCTCAGGATTGGGGTGATGTAGGTGGAGAGAAGTGATCCTGCATTGATGCTGCCAAGAGAGGTCAAAGGTTAACATTCAGTGATTCATGAAGCTGCCAATTACACAAAAATATTAGTTTTATATTTAATGTATTTATCATTTTGCCACTTATCAGTTGACTAGCCATTCAGGTAGTTGGTCTATCTAGTGTTAGTACAGAAAGAAACCGGAATCTGGGAGACATATGATGTTTGGTAATGAGGGTCACACTGGATAACACCAAATCTCACCTAACCTACCAGTCACATTAAGAAATATGAATTTTAATGCAAAGTAACCTAACCTAATCTAACTTAACTTGACCACCACCCCTTAAACAGTTCAGTATTATCCTGTGAGCTTTTTTAGGGATGACTAATATACTTAGAAAAAACATTTCTAACTTTACTTTTGCATAATAACTGATTGATAATAAAACCTTTGAAGGATAGAAGAACTGAGTAGGTGACACTAGTTCTGGTGAAAGTATATGATTCAATTTTCAGATAAGAGTTTGCCAATATATATACTGTATACAGGTATAAGGTGTCTCAGAAAAATGCAATTCCATGAATGCTTGTATTATAACAGCAACATTGTCCACACTTGCTGACGTGTGAGGTCGCACATCAACAAGCGAGGAAAATGTTGCTGATGTAATACCGTACTGTACAAGCACTCATCACTAAAATTTGTAAGGCAGTGTGTATAATTATATGCAGAGAAAAAGGTATGCAAAGACTAATTCTACCTCTTAAAAATAAAAGAAAAAGATTACTGTTTGAAAAGGTTACCTGAAGTAGAAAATAGAGAAGAACTGTGTCAGCTGCCGTTCTTGTTTGGGAAGGACAAACTGGTCTCCTCCGAAGGCTGATACACAGGGTTTAATGCCCCCTGTACCCAAGGCTATTAGGAAGAGGCCAGTCAGGGACACTGCTCTGTGGGGGGAAAATGTGTGTTCATCAAACCTTGTGGTAATACTTGAACACTGAGCTACACACATCTTTAACACTAGCTATACACATCCTGAACACTGAGCTATACACATCCTAAACACATTTATAACTGCCTTAATGTTTACTATTGTTTGTATTCCTGCACTGTCCAGACACCCTTAAATGTCTTGTTGCCTCTATTCCTGAACTCCGAGCTTCAGACTCATAAATCTGAAGCATTTATGGACAGAATAATGCTTCAGTTTACTGCTTTGGGTTCATGAATCTGAATTTCAGGGTTCGTGTTACAGCAGGAGAGGCGGCATGACTTTTGAAGGTGACTGCACATTGGTTGTATACCTGTATGGTCTATATACATGCTGAACTGTACACAATACCTACAGTGTCTATATACATACTGAACTGTAAACCTGCATTTCCTATATGCAAGCTAAATCAACTGTAAACTTGTACGATAATTTTACTGAATAAGTATCAATCAGTTTAAATTTTCTCCTCATTTTCAACTGGAATGAAATCAATAAAAGTTTTGCAGCACTAACATGTATAGTTCAGTACTGTACTTACATCTTTGGTCCAAGGTCTGGGAAAACTGGTGGGACAGCCGACAGAGAGAGAACTGCATTCCCAAACACGTACAAGACAGAGATGTAGAATATTGTTCTGCAAAACACATTGCGAATCAGAAGAGAAAATATTCTATTATGTTTATTTATTTATTATTTAAACTATAACTAGATAAAAGGCATAAAGGAAATAAACTAACCAATAAAAATTAAAGTATTAGGAGCTTTATTGTCCAGTGTTAGTATAGGAGGCAACCAGAGTACCATACTTGGAGAAAACCTTCCATGTTTGGGAGGATCACACTGGATAATACTCTTCTTACATCTGTCCTTGGGTAGGGAGTGAGCCCAGGACACAGTAGTCAGATATATATGAATCATCACTCTGCCACAGGCACAAGAATCAGAACCTACAGATTTTTCATTAAGATTAACCAATAACTTGACATCTGGCACATCAATTGTCAATACTTTACAGCCAACTGCCATAATTATATGGGTTACCCTGAATACTTGATGGCAGCTAAAAACAACTTAATCCTAACTAATCCAAAATAATCCTAACCTACAGCAACTTGGATATGTCATTGTAGCAGTAGAATGGTTGGCCTACCTGAAGCGTCCAAGGAGGGTGTCAGCAATGATAGCACCGAGGATGGGGGTAAAGTAACACAACATTGACCATACATGGTAAATGACAGTCGAGGAATCTTCAGAAAACTTTAGTTCGTTGTGTAGGTAGAGAGTCAAGATGGCTGTAAAGGAGACAGTCAATATTTACATAACTGGGGAATACCGGGTTTCATTTTGTGATGGGAATTAAGTTTTAACTTTATTTTAACTGTTTAGAAATGAGTAGAACAAAGATGAATAAAGTACGTAATTAAAAAATTTTCATCTTACAGTACTGTATAGTAAAGTAAGTAGTGACTAATATAGAAAAAATACTAAAAATATGGAGATGAGAGAGAGAGATGTTGGGTTACTTTCTGTACAACATGTGGTAAACTGTGAGTTATAATGTACTGTACGAATTAATAAGTGCAATGAGAGGCACAAGGAACAAAGATGAGACTGATGATGTTTTTAATGGTTCATGAACAGTGGAACAATGAATAAAGTATTCTTTTTCTGAACAAATCTGAAACAATGGGTTGGGTTGACTACATACAATTATGTTTCTCCACAACTATATATTTATAATTTTCTTTTTAAATTGTACATAACTTTTCGTGATTACTTTATTGGCCAGCTACTTGAGCCTTATAACACAAGTTTAAGATATTTGCCACTAAATCTGTCCACATGATAAACAGTACAGGAAATACATAACAGATCACTCTATCATCTGCCTGAAACCTTTTAACACACTGTATACTTATGTACATGCAACTCACTCCAAAAACTATCTTTTCGATTTTGTATGAGGCAATATGACACAATGGATGAATGATTTCGATACCTCTATCAAGAAAATAAGAGACGCGATGTTCGTTTTCAAATTCATCGGACGACTCCGTAAAGATACTTTTATGGAGTGAGTGTACAAAGAAAGGGTTCCTAAGTACTAAAGCAATACAAACACATTAAAAACATATATTTTCCTCTTAATTCTAACAATTTTTATCATCACAGTACAGAAGAAAATGTAAAATAATGAAAAATGTGCAAATATTACATTATAATAAAATTATAATTTTTGTAAAGGACGGAATGTTTAATGACCCCATCTTACCTTTCATACCATAATAACTGAACCTCTCACAGAACTCGGTGCCGATGATGAAGAAAACGGAGCGCGGGTACTTGACTCTCTGTTAATGAGGGAAACAATTTTAATATTTCTTACCTAACTTCATATAATAAGCCAGGCATTACAAATATAATACTGTATTACTTATATAACCTACTCTACTATAACACAGATCCCTTACAATAACCCTTTATATTGGGATATATTTTATTTCCCGGGACATACCAACGGTAAGGAGGCGTATCATACGTCCCAAATGGGATGAAGAAACTGCATTAATTGAGACTGAATGTGAAAAGGACCTCGGTGTATATGTTGACAATGAGCTGAAGTTCTCGGTCCATTGCAAGAGGAAGGTGAATCAGGCAACTAAATTATGTCTTATAAGAAGGTCGTTCAGATATCTAGACGGTCTGTCCCTTGTTACGATCTTCAAGAGTGAAGTGCTTCCCTGTCTGGAGTACTGTCACCCCGTCTGGTCCCCGAGATATGCTACCCTGAGAGATTAGAGAGCCTGAAATTGCCTAGCTTATACTAGAGACGGGACCTAATTAAGGTGTAGAAACATCTCAAAGGACACTACTCAGTCGAGTGCCCTTACCTGGAGCTGGCGGACGCTCGCCCCACAAGGGGTCACAGCTCAACATTGAAGAAGCCGCAAGCCCAGAAAAGGCTTGCGGCTTCGGAGTGAGAGTTATGAACTCTTGGAACAACCTGCCAGAGAGTGTTGTGACGGCACCGAGTGTGAGCTTTTTCAAGACCACTGGAGCAGGTTCAGATACATTCAGGAGCCAGTGCATGCCCAGTACTTGCCAACAGTGTGTACCAAAGACGTGACATGTTGCCCAAGAGGCTAACGAGCCGATCAGTGGTGAAGAGGATAAAAGTAAAAGTAAAAAGTAAAAGTGTATACTTAAACACACCGTTAAGACACAAGGGTTTAAAAAGATTTAACATGATTCCTATATCAATTATATCCTCAAAGAAATAAAAGGAGAGAGAGAGAGAGAGAGAGAGAGAGAGAGAGAGAGAGAGAGAGTACTGTACTTCAAATGAATATTACCAACCGCAGTGACTCAAAATATTTCAATCATATTGACAAAGACTCATAAGTATCATAGTTACAGATTAAAGACAAATTGGGACTTATATTCTGTCTCAAGAGTAAATATATATATATTGTATAGTTTCTCCCGGCCGTGAACTAAAGAAAACGGCGAGATATTTACCCCCAACTTAAATAAACCATCTTATTGTATTGCCAAGAGAAAACAACAAATAGAAACGCAGTATACAAGACCTCTGAGTAAGGTGTGGCAGGGGAGGAGCCTTTATTGACATTGACTATACATAATATTCAATGTAAAAGTAAATATCACCTGAAGATTAAACACCTTAGCTTATTTCACCTGAAGATTAACCCCCCTTTACTTTACTTTATCCTCTTCACCGTTAAACGTCTTGTTAGTGAGGTAAACATTCATGTTTTCTTTTAATTTAAAAGTCAATCAAAATTATCGTGTCACTTTATAAGGCTGAATATTGGTGTAAAATACACGGTCGGAATGGCATACACACGCACAGTAGTCAAAGTGATGGCTAGCCTACCCCTTGAATAAATTTGTTTGATCTCAATCTCTCTCTTTATCTAGTTATCTATCTATCCATCTATATATCTGTTTACCCATCTAATCTACCGACTTATCCATCCATGGTAGTGAGGTGTCCTGCCGGCCATGAACTCACCTTCTGCGCCATGGTCACCTGCTGGCGTTGGAAAATCTCTTGGTCACTGGCAGACAACATCTTCAGCGACTCTCCACAAACTCGCCTTCAACGCTAACAACTTCTCCCGTTCATAACATTTACATTAAACCCCTTCTTCTCTATTTTAATAAACAGAGTAAGTTAAGAGGAATATTAGTATATAAATAACAGTTTACGTTCGATCAGAGAAAATGTCTCCACGGTTTGGTTTTCACTACACGCCGTCGATGCTAGTGACTGAGTGACCAGCCTGGCCCAAAGGGGTCTCACTCAGAACTCTCCTTTACCCTAACCAAACAGGTACCAGAGAACCTTGAGTGACGTCACACCTGAGCTGCTCATGTTTCAGTACAATGTAAAAGGTGGAGTACCCGCGATGACACACACACACACCTCACTTAGCCAATTTGTTGTTGTCACTTCAGGTCAGGTATGTAGGGTACAGATGTTCCTCTAACCTAACCTAAACTAACCCAACCTGACCGAATATAACATTACACAACTAAACCCCGTACAGGCAGATGAGGTGAGGGGTGAAGTAAGGGAGGTGAGGGGTGAGGTAAGGAAAGTGAGGGGTGAGAGGAAAGGTAAGGAAGGTGAGGTGAGAGGTAAGGAAGGTGAGAGGTGAGGTACGGTAGGTGAGGTGAGAGGTGAGGTACGGTAGGTGAAGGGGGTGAGACAGAGACAGGGTAAAACTATCACATGTAACAGGCTCACCATCTTGACGGTCCAATACTGGGACAGTGAAAGAGAGTGTGTGTGTGTGTGTGTGTGTGTGTGTGTGTGTGTGTGTGTGCGCATTTCATCCCAAATAAGTCTCTCATTGACTCTATCAAGATTGGGAGGTCTATATATTACTCCTGTGATTAATTTTTCCCTACCGTCGATTAATTCTATCCAAATTGTTTCTGTATTCCGCTCAGTTTTTATTTCCTTATTTATTTCACACTTCAGATTATTCCTGATATAGATTGCTACTCCGCCTCCTTTCCTGGTTTGCCTATCGGTATGGAACAATTTGTAACCCGCAATTTGGTATTCGACCGGTAACTCACGTGAGTCTAGGTTGATCCATGTTTCAGTGAATGCTATTATGTCGATTTTTTTGGTACATACTAAGGCCCTAATATCATCCATTTTGTTTCTCATACTTCTACTGTTCGTGTAGTAGACATTTAAGTTAGTCGTATTCTGAGTCCTCCCTTTACCGCGTTTAGGTTTAAACTCCCTGACTGCTTTAGTTTTGTCGTCATTCCTAACACTATTTCCCTGTAATCTTTTACTTTGTTTACCTGCTCCCACTGCAGTTTCCTCTACCCCCGTGCCCTCATGTTCCCCTAGCAGTTTAGACTTCGATATCTTTTGAACTGCCCCCTCTAGAGACCCAGCCAGGGTTGCCACCCCCTCCTGAGACAGGTGCACCCCATCCCTAGCATAAAGGTCCCTTCTGCCGTAGAAGTTGTCCTAGTTGTCAATGAATGGGACTGATATTGACTTGCAATATCCGTCAAGACGGCCGTTGACAACCATTCATTGCTAACTCTCCTTCTAGGCAGGACACCACATATGATAGGGATCCCTCCCTCAGTCCTAATACGATCTATAGCTGTCTTGAACTTATCAAGAAGCTCTTCACTCCTACACCGGCCAATATCGTTGCCTCCTGCACTGAGGCAGATATTGGGTTTGTTCCCATTACCAGACAAGATATTGTCCATCCTGTCAACTATATCCCCCACCCCAGCTCCTGGCAAACACACCCTCATCCTATTTTTATTTTTACCACAAAAGGCCCTGTCCAAGTACCTTACCTGTGAGTCACCAACAATTAAAGTTTTTATACCTTCCTTGTCAACCCTGTCCCTGACTGTACTAACGTCCTTGCATCACTTTCTCAACAGGTTAGGTATCACCCCTTCACTCACCCCCCTTTTAGTGCCAAGACGGAAAGTGAAATTGACAAAAGACCATATTTCAAATTTGTCTTGTCTGATGGGATAATATTTCGCCTTGTCGATTAATACCAACCATAATCATTGGATAAAACTTACTTTACACACACACACACTTACCTCCTCTGTCTGGTCTGGGTCATCGTACATCTTCTCGCCGCCTTCTAACAACTTGCTGCCTGCCAGGGTGAAGTAAACAAGGTCAAATAAGTTCAAAAAAAGGTCATAATAACAATGAAATTAACGAGGGTCAACTTACGTATCATTCCACCACTTATCACTTTACTAGCCATCTGGGCGGTTGGTCTGTTCTTAGTTATTTTGTTATGTTTGGTTGAGTAACAGTGGATAATACTCTTCTCATATTTCTTATATCTGTTCTGGGCTGGAGACTGAACCCAGGACATATTTGTGAGAGATACTTTTTAGGTGTTGCCATGACGAATATGCTTACAACCGTACACTTATTACCTTAGTGGAGCTCAACTAAAAACAAAAGAAGATCAGTTTGATGGTGTTTATATTCTGTAAGACGCCATTACAACTACACCTTAATGCCTTAGTGGCGCTCAACTTCAGTAGATACTATGAGCCATTATAACTGGCGAGATAACGATGGAGGTTAAAACACACACACACACACACCATCAAAGCGACATTAAAACACACTATACATAAATAACTATACCACATCAAATTATACATAAATATCAAAAGACATTAAAAACATTAGATAAAGATTATACAACATAAATATTAAGACGTTTAGAGACATAAAAGACAATGCAATAATGATAAATACGAACACTGGGATGGAATTAATCTGAGGAAATCAAAGAGATAAAATTGGTATATTGGTACAGGTCAAGGTGGAATGGGGAAGGTGGTTAAGAGAGAGAGAGAGAGAGACAATCTAACCACCTTACATTCCATCTTCTTGTTATGGTCGAGGCTCCAATACAACACCTCTTCATCATCATCACCATCGTCGCCGACTGTATAAGAGGGATAATGTATATCGTCCTCCTCCTCGTCCCACACGTCTCGACTCAACAGCGGGGCGTACATGGCCGAACACCAAAACACAACACGTAGATAACAACACAGGTAGTTGAAATGGGTAGCAGGAGTAAGGCCACGGTATGGATAATAGGGGGTAACACAGGTAGTTGGAACAGGTGACAGGTGTAGGGCCACGGTATGGATAATAGGGGGTAACACAGGTAGTTGGAACAGGTATAGATAATAAGGGGTAACAGTAGGTGGAACAGGTGACAGGTGTGGTATGGATAATGGGGTAACACAGGTAGTAACACAGGTAGTTGGAACAGGTATAGATAATAAGGTAACACACAGTTGGAACAGGTGACAGGAGTAAGGCCACGGTATGGATAATAGGGGTAACACAGGTAGTTGGAACAGGTGACAGGTGTAGGCCACGGTATGGGTAATAGGGGTAACACAGGTAGTTGGAACAGGTATAGATAATAAGGGGTAACACAGGTAGTTGAAATGGGTAGCAGGAGTAAGGCCACGGTATGGATAATAGGGGGTAACACAGGTAGTTGGAACAGGTGACAGGTGTTGGGCCACGGTATGGGTAATAGGGGGTAACACAGGTAGTTGGAACAGGTATAGATAATAAGGGGTAACACAGGTAGTTGGAACAGGTGACAGGTGTAGGGCCACGGTATGGGTAGGTTTAATAGGGACTAAATAGAGGGTATTGACGTATTGAAGTCCAAATAACAGTTACAAGTGTTAACGAGGATTTGAAGACACAAGCAGGTGTACTAATTACAAATGTCAATAGAGGTACAGGTGTCAAAACAAGAAACAAATGACAAGCAACAAGTGTGGCTAAAGGTATCGTCCGTGAGAAGATGGAAGCAGAGAATTGTGGGTAATACAGACCAAGAAACTAAGAAAATGACCAAAACAAAACAAAAAAACAAACGAAACAGAATATTGGAATAACGAAAAAGAGTCGGATAAAATAAAAGAATTAAAGAAGGAAAAATTACATAGATTTCGCCAATTGGTTGACCTAGATAGATAAATAGATAGATAGTTAGATAATGACTGAAGATAGAACTTAAACTACAGTAGAACAGAACAAAACTTCGTGATAAATTAAACCAAACTACAGTCTTCTACAGCTCAAGAATTCACTACAAGATCAATAATACACAAGAAATGTTAATGATCATTTTATCAGTTTACGGGAGGTGTTTGGGTCAGAGGGGGGAACAAGTGGGTGGTGGGTCAGAGGGGGGAACAAGTGGGTGGTGGGTCAGAGGGGGGAACAAGTGGGTGGTGGGTGGGTCAGAGAACAGAACAAGTGGGTGGTGGGTCAGAGAGAACAAGTGGGTGGTGGGTCAGAGGGAACAAGTGGGTGGTGGGTCAGAGGGGAACAAGTGGGTGGTGGGTCAGAGGAGGAACAAATGGGCGGTGGGTCAGACGGGGAACAAATGGGTGGTGGGTCAGAGGGGCAAGTGGGTAGTGGGTCAGAAACAAGTGGGTGGTGAGTTAGAACAAGTGGGTGGTGGGTCAGAGGGAACAAGTGGGTGGTGGGTCAGAGGGCAGGAACAAGTGGGTGGTGGGTCAGAAACAAGTGGGTGTGGTGGGTCAGAGGGGGAACAAGTGGTGGTGGGTCAGAGGGGAACAAGTGGGTGGTGGGTCAGAGGGGAACAAGTGGGTGGTGGGTCAGATGGGGAACAAGTGGGTGGTGGGTCAGAGGGAGGACAAGTGGGTGGTGGGTCAGACGGGGAACAAGTGGGTGGTGGGTCAGATGGGGAACAATTGGGTGGTGGGTCAGAGGGGGTAACAAGTGGGTGGTGGGTCAGATGGGGGAACAAGTGGGTGGTGGTTCAGAGGGGGTAACAAGTGGGTGGTGGGTCAGAAGCGGGAACAAGTAAGGTGCACGTGACTTCAGAGAGGGAACTGGGGTTTAGTTCTAAAGCCATGAGTTACCTGTAAGAGAAAAATACGGGGTGAGCTGACTAACACACACGTATAGGTAGATTTAGTAAAATAGTCATATATTTTCACAACCTAACTATCTATACAATCGCTGGGTTGAGAAACATATTTGTGTGAGTTCGTTTACTCTGGACAGCTATGAGACAAAATCCACGTATAAGTGGGCTTATTGTGTGTATGGCCAATAAAGTCGTCAATATCTACTACTAAGCTGGGTAGGGTTGGGTTAGGACGTCACGAAGGATTAGGACCAATCAGCACACAGGTAGCCCATAAACGAGTGTGTTCTACCAGTGTGTAGTGTGTGTCCAACTGAGGCCACTAGAGGGAACAAACCTCCCCCTCGCCCACCTGGCCACACATCTCCACCTGGCCACACCCTCCTCACCTGGCCACAGGGGTAGAGAACGTGGATTTCAGTAAAGCTCAGGTGTAGGTTGTGAATACACTTGCGTCAGCACACCTGCACCACCTACCTACACACACACACACACGTAACACTGTATTCTTTACCCAGCTCGTTACGTTACAGTGATCAGTTACTACAGTGCTACAGTGTCGAATACAAAATCCACAAGCACAATAGTGTTACACCCCAGACTACAGTGTATACTATCGTCTACAGTTTACATCACTGACGACACTATGCACTACAATTTATATTACTTTCTACATAATACACCCATCTAAAACGCACACAACATCACGCATTAAGTGAGCTCGAGGCAGGTGACATGATGAAGTGAAATAATGTGTGTTAATGATTAGTTTCCAGGCCCAGGGCTACTTTCTCCCTCCCTAGGTAACTACTCCCTCCCTCCCTCCAAAACTTTCACATAACGTACTCACTCCCTCTCCTTCTCTCCGTTTTCCCATTCCCTCTCCTCTTCTTCCCTATTTCCGTCTCTTTTTCTTCTTTTTCCATTTTATCCTGACCCCTCTCTCTTCTCCTATTCGTTAACCTAGTCTCCATCTTCTCGTTTAATCTAATCTAATCTAGTTCACCTCAACCTAACCTAACCTACCCCCAACCATCTCTTTATCATCTCATCCTATTTCATTGATTCGATCTAAGGTGCAGTGAAGTAGATAACTCTCGGGCGAGTCTCGTGTCCTACGCCTCCACCATCACCACTTCCTACTCTACCACTTTCTCCTCCACATCACCAATATTGATCAATACTTGGGGGTAACACATATGTGAACCTATATTTGAAAGTTTTATTCTAATTTCAAGTAATTTTATTTGTCTGTTTATTTGATGTGAAAATATATTATCTACGAATGATAGAAGGCGAGAGATAAACCCGTGTTATGTATTAAATGCCACATACTTCTATGGTTATGATCAAGAAAAATATGAATAAAAATGTACTTAAAGGCTTCCTTGACCCAATGAATAATATTATATAAGCATTAAACAGTAGAAAGAAACATTAACACAAGATAAACAAACTTACAGTCATTGGGGCCAGCAGAACGACGCTTGGTAAACATAGTAATGCTGCTCAACTCGACCCAACCACCTCCAACGAACACACACACGTCACAAAAATCTTCCCACTGATTTTAGCGCAGTCACGTCTGTTTAGACAAACTCAATATACACATTGTTATCCTATACCAGTGGGAAGTATTTTTTTCTGAATATTTCCTTTGATAAGGTTGTAGAACAGGGAATATTCATTAAAATATGGCAAGAGAGAACTGGCTCTGCACCCACGATCGTCTAGCGCGGGCGAGTCGCGTCACCCCGGAACTACACACATATACACACTGAAGCTCAACACCCACCCACACACACTCACCTCCAAACAAACTGTGCAATAACCCTGGGAGAAAAAATAGATCTTTCAAGTTTTATGATGCCTGAGTCCAGGGGCGGATCAGGAATATCAAAGGAGGGGGATCCGGACCCCCCGGATCCACCCTTGGAGTCAGAGAGGCAAAGGTGTGGTGCTTAGTAAGAGTCAGTACACGTGAGCTTCATAATCTGACAAAAATGTAATGGATCTTATGAAGATTAGCCCCAGCTTATTTCACCTGATAATTAAACACCGTGGGTTAAGTTAGGTTTAGGAACTTTAATTTCAAGGTAAAATAAACTGGGGCTAATTTTCAGGTGATCCAATTTAACTTTACGTGTAGTTGATGTATATCATTGACCCCGCATACGTACAGACACACATCTGAACTCTCGTGTTAACAGTACCACACCTGTGAAAACCAAACACACCTGCCGTCCACCATTTACCACCATTACACACCTCCATCACCCCCTCCCCACCTGTATATTACAGAACATCAAGTAAACATAATGTATTACTCCAGAAGCAATCATACACGAGTACGTTCATTTTTATACGCTTCGGTTAGGTTCTTGTGTTCTTAGGTCAAATAAACCAGTAGGCTACCTTCTCACACCTTTAGGTTATGTTAGGTTAGGTTGGGTTAGGTCGGGGTGGGTTGGGTTCCTGTGCTGTAAGGTCAAGTAAACTTTTAGGCCACCATCTCACACCTTTAGGAATATTTACCGAGCGAACTTCAGAGAATCATGACTGACAGGTGAGACACAACACACTGTATATACTTCTTGTGTACATCTGCGAGTCATTGTGTGTCCCATGTAAGTTTGAGAGAGAGAGAGAGAGAGAGAGAGAGAGATATATCAAAACCTACAAATTAACCCAAATCCTAACTGATAAACGTCGAACCATACGATATAATTAAAACCCTTGGATAAACACTAAACCCACCTAATAAAACCTAAACGTTATTAAAACAAACACAGCAATAACACGTATATCTCTGGGTTCATCCCCCGCCTTGGGACAGATGTGAACCAGTGTGACCCAACCAAACATGGCAGCCAGGTCTTCTCCGGGTACTAGTTTCCTCCTGTACTAACACTGGACAAGGAAGATCATAACAAAGTAGTACTAACCTACGTGGTGAAATGATAAATAAATAAACAAACAGTAAGATAAGGAGCCAGCACTAACCACAACCATCCTCAAGTGGTATATTAGTTAAGTGCACCCGTTAAGTGATAAAAGCTAAGTACAGCCATCAAGTGGTAATAATTAAGTAAAAGGCCTCGTTATCACCTCACTCGTAAATGAAGGTAGTATGATTGTCCAGTTGTTATCATAAGGTCGTCACACGACATTATATCATTACCCACGTGTTAAAACTTCCAATACTTGAGAGATACACATTTCTTAAGACTATTTATTTAAGTCTTATCCAACTAAACTGTGATTGTAATAT